ACAAGGCAATAATATCTCTCAAACTTTATCATTATCCCGTGGAATCCTTCAAGGTGATCCCCTTTCTCCATATTTATTCAATTTTTACCTTATAGTTACCTTATAGTTATTGATCGTCTCTTTACTGAATCAACTGAATTACTTTATAGGTATTTCACTTTACTGACTTTACTGAATTACCTTATAGGTATTGCTCGTCTCTTTACTGAATTATAATAGGAAATAGAGTCTTTCATTACATTCTTTTTGCTGATGATCTTGTGCTTCTGGCCCCAACAAAGATTTCACTACAAAGGAAAATTAATCTACTTAATAAATTTCTACAATCACTATATCTGACAATAAATTCGACCAAAACGAAAGTAATCATATTCCGCAATAACTGTAAAATATCCGAAAATAACGCTAAATTATATCATGAAAATATTCCTTTACAAACTGTAAATGAAATAGACTATTTGTGAGTCAGGTTTGATTGGAATTTATCCTTTAAAGCACATTTTAACAAAATAAAAATCAAAGCAAAGCAAGCCATAGATAATCTACTATTTATATGTTCTAAGCTGGAAATTACCAATTTGAAAATTCATATTAAATTATTTAACTCAACAATCGTTCCTATAATATATTATGCAAGCCCAATATGGAGTTTAGACTATATATATAAATTGGAATATCTTCACGTCTATTATTTACGCAAATTATTCCAACTAGAAAGAACTATTCCAGGCTATGCTCTGAGGCACGAAGTAAATAGGATTTGGTTCTTCCCTTTTGTATTGAAACGCATAATTAAATTTTACTACAGAATTAAATTTAAAAACGATAATACAATAATATATCTACATCATAAAAATATTAATCAAAGTAAAAATCGGAAATTTAAACAATTATGGCATTACAAGCTAAATCAGATTTTAAATAGTTTTGGTATATCGGAGATACTATTTAAAGATAATATCAATGATTGGAAATTTGGCTATTCTCTCCTAATAGACTCTGCAATTTCGCAGGCAATAAACAAAGATCAAGATTCATTATATCAAAGCAGTGGTACATCAATTTATTGCAAATTCCATCTTTACAATCCTATATGTTACAGCCAGTAATTCTAAATGTGAAGCGATTAATAATTCAACTCCGTCTAAATAAATACACTCTATTTATTAATAATATTTATATCGACTTAACAAGATCCTATTGCCCTTTATGTAATTCTGAAGAATTTTCATTATTTCATCTAATTCATAATTGTAAAGAACTTTCTAAACTGCGTAACCATTATAAAATATCTCAAATATGTAATTCTAATTCACCACTTGATTTTAAACTAAGTTTAAATAATCTCAACAAAACGAATCTATATAAAATTTACAATTATTTTGTTAAAGTTTCTGAAAAATACTATTCGACAAATCAAAATTAATGTTCGTATTGATATTTGTTGCCTTGTTAAAATAGCTGGATCACTATGCACGTAAATATAAANGGTGGTAGCCCCAAGTCTCCATTCGTGCATAGGGGTGGTTGCGTCTCGATAGCTATAAGGGTGCGGGAGATATGAGGCTGAAAGTGGTTGAAAGTGGCTTTCTATTTCGAATGTTTTGTTCGAATTTGTTCGAATTAAATTCGAACATAAAATTCGAATATTGGTTCGATTATAGAACGATTGTAAACGTTCCAGAAAATTGATGAAATTGAAAATAGTTCGTTTAACTGGACGTGAACAAGAGACGTTCAAAAATAGAATCGGAACCAGGTCTCTAATTAGTCTGGAAACGGGGGACCTCATTCTTGCATTCTGTGAAAACGGGTAAGATTGGCTATAATGTAATAATCTTAATCTTAACTATCGTTACTTTTTGCCCACAAATAAAAACCCAGCGTAACGGATCCTTGCAGCTAGATTCTAGATTACTTAGAAGAACAGTCTTTTATAAATAAAAAAACAAAAACTATATTACATACGAATGTACGAACGAATAAAAACCCAGCGAAGTGGGTCCTTGCAGCTAGTTAAGAAATAAAATTTCAGAAATTTTCAAATACTCAAGAATATAGAAGTAGTGTGAGACCATTCTCCATTCTCAAGACATTTAATAGTTCCCGTGGCATTTAATTTATAACCATCATCGCAAGTGAGATGAAGTTCATCTTCGTAGGAGTAATTCTTACTTTGATTCCAATTTTTCCATATTCCATTTAATATAGCGATGGGAGAATTCTTATATCGAATCTCTTTGTGAAAGTTTAATATACAAGATACTGTATATAAATCTATTTATTCCGATATTTAAAATTTTATTCTGTTATTATTTACTTACTTAAATATATTGGAAATTTCTTCTCTGTAAGAAATATAAATTATTTTAACTGCAATCATTTCGTTATTTTTGAAACATATAAAATATTTACATACCTATACAAGCTGCATGAGTATGGGACCATTCTCCGTTCTTAAGACATTTAATATTTCCTGTGGCACTTAATTTATAACCAGGATGACAAATAAGACGAATTTCGTGTTCATAAAAGTAACGTTTAGTGCCATTCCAATTTTCCCACATACCATTTAATATATTCATCGGAGAATTTTTGCATTGGATCCCTTCTTAAAATTTAATAAAGGTAATTAAAAATGAAATAAAATTTCACACAAAAACTGCCCGAATGGTTTACTTACGTTGACACTNATATTTCCTGTGGCATTTAATTTATAACCAGGATGACAAATAAGACGAATTTCGTCTTCATAAAAGTAACGTTTAGTTCCATTCCAATTTTCCCACATACCATTTAATATTTTCATCGGAGAATTTTTGCATTGGATTCCTTCATAAAAATTTAATTTAGGCAATTAAAAATGAAATAAATTTTTAAATGTAAAAGCTGCCCAAATGGTTTACTTACGTTGACATTGAGGTATTTGAGTCGATATATCTGTCACTCCACAATAAAGATATCGATATCCATTCAGTTGAAAACCCTCATTGCAGTTAAATGACACGTATTCTCCATAGTTTAACGAGTTAACATTTGAAGGAGAAATATATCCATTTGGTAGATTTATTGATGCAATGGAACATTTTTCTTCTGTTTATTTATTAAACATATTAGTTAGCAAGTTTATTTAACGCAGTTACGGTATTCAAAACAAATAAATTTATTTTTTAAAAGTTAAATGTTTCACACAAACATTTTCCCTTTCCCATTATACAGTGGAACCCCGGTTAACGAACGTAATCCGTTCCACGAGTCCGTTCGTTAACCGAATTGTTCGTTAACCGAAGCAATTTTTCCCATAGAAATTAATGCAAATACAATTAATCCGTTCTAGACGTCAGTATTTTTGTAATTTTATTTGTAAAATGGGTTTTCTTTAATGAAAATATAGGAAAACGTGCTCATAAACAGTCGATCTAAGTTAAATTTTCGGAAAAGGGGAAAGATTTGACGGGTATAAAAACATCACATACGATCGTTAAAGTTCTAAAATGACAGATAGCAGAAACAATAGGCTAAATTATGAGCGAAAGGCTTATCGGTTTATCAACAATCTCTGATCAGAGTCGACGAACAGGTGTCAAATAAACGCCTCAGAACAAACCTTTCTCGTGACCTGATCTGGTTTCGATTTTCACCTGGAGACAAAAAAGAAAACAATCAGGAAGCGAGGAATGGGACGCAGGACTAATCGTAAGGTAAGATTCAAGGAAGAAATACTATAAAAACCCCGAATCTCAGGTCAAAACACAGTTTTCCTAAAAATTCTATGGCGATTAATCTGTGTCGTCATCATCTGGATTAAGCCTGAAGTCGTACCCGCTAAAATTTGTGTTGTGTCTCGCGGACCGCTCCAACTGTTGCAGTTCTGTCACCTACCATCGCTTCTGTGACCAAGCGAACCCATCTCGTCTGCTCTGGGGCTACGACTGATCAGCTTGCACTATCGTAGGACCAGCGATACGCCACTCCTCAGTGCTGAGAGAAAATACTGTAGATAAGCCATTTCCAACTGCCTCAAATATGTAAGTATCTTCAAGTTCTAATAAACGATTTTCACTGTAAAATACTTGTCATCGTTGTCTCCTCCGCCACCACCAACGTACGAATGGACCCTAGACCATCACCGACACACGATTAACTGATTTTCCCTAAAAGTCGGCAAGCTTACAAATTTGACACAAAAAAAGCCGTTAAGTTCGTTATCCGAATTTTGTTCGTTATCCGAGACAAAATTTTTGTAAAATAAAAGTTCGTTAACCGATTTGGTCGTTAACCAGGACGTTCGTTAACCGGGGTTCCACTGCATTTAATAAAATAGAGAAAGTATTAATTCATTTTTTGATCCCCCTAAAAGATCATTGCCATAATTTTCTAGAGATTCTGGAAACTGTATTTCTGGAGATTATTCTTCCGCCTTGAGATTTTCGGCCAGTACCATTTTTTGTTGTGCTTTAGAGAGCTGGAAGCGTCTGTCTTGAGCTGTTTAATAGTTTTGGTGCAATTTCCTGTTTTGGCTTTGAATCAGTTTGAGCTATTAGGCATCATTCATGTCATGTCAGGGATTCATGAGGCAGTTGTGGTGTTACAACACCATTTAAATTATTTTTTTGTAACGGTTTGTCCACGGTTGGGGAGTTACGCTTATCTTTCATTGAAGGGTACTTACGGTGTCCCTCTTTGTTTTCTTGTCTCCTTTTTTGTTGTGCGATTCACCAGAAGAGAGGAAAGAGGACAAGCAAGCAAGAATTACGAAAGTAAAAATGTATAGACCTTCTTTATCCGAACGAACTGCCTGAGGACTTTTCTATTAATTGGATTCTACATGGTGAAATAGTTAGTTTTGAACAGACAGTTCGTCCAGAATGAAAGTTGACTCTGACTCGGAGAGAGGATCGTTTTCCTAATATCATGAGAAAAGTCGAGGATGGCGTGTGGAGAAACAGTAATTGGGATATCGCTTAACGTCTTCGTTTCAGGAATTTCTCAGATTGCTTTATCGATGCAGTTTCTACAAGTAGTTGTCATTGGCAGATTATCAAGTTTTGTATTAGAAAAGGAGATAGAGTCCCCAATATAAGTTCGGAATTTCAGCGCAAAATCAAGAAACGTGGCATTGTAGGTCCCGAAAGATCAGTATTAGTAGTTAATAATTCATGATTAAAGGAATAAATTTCAGCTCCCATTGATCCCATCCACCACCGAGCCCAACCAGGGGATGCTGTACAGTGTGCATAAGCAACACCTACTGATGCACCAGGGTATCCCAGGACCTATACTCTCACAATGTAACAACACAGAAGACTAATCTGTCTGGACTACACCGATCAGTTGACTTCAAGCTGAGGTCCCAAACACTCAACATCCAGCCGATTGACTCGAATGAAGAATGTTCGAGCCACCCATTTATCTGAAACAGGACCAAAGTAGTGTGTTGGGGACGTTATGTTGCCAAAACCTCCTTTATCAGCTTACAGGTATCCACACAGAGCAAACACGTGGGTGGCAAATTCTACAACAATGGCAACACTACATTTGCCTCAGGCTGTGGGGTTCTACTTCCCAAACAACTGCCTAAGCAATTAATTAAAAGTGTCTAGAAAGTAACCAATTATATAATATAATTCCATTTTATAGTATTGCTTCATTTATACAAGAGAAGCATGAAAATCGGTTGGTTTTATATAATATTTCTTAGTAAAGATTTACTGTTCAACACAAACGAAAGAAAAGAAAAACAGTCGAATAATTTTAATTAAATATGAAAAAACACTCACTTGACTTTGAATAAATATGGATTCCACATACTTGAAATTCGTGCCACGAACATTGCTTTAGGTTAAATTTAATATTTCCTGTCATGTCGTTTTTAAATTCGTATGTAAATTGCGTAACATCTGAAATAATTGAAATATCAAATAAATTTCAATTATAATCGAAAAATTAATTATTACATCAATTATACTGTAAATATCTTCATAATACTACACAACATGAAAATATTACTATAAAATACACCCATTGATAAAAGTAGCTATTGACCTAGATACACTTGTTTGATTACAGCAAACTTGGCGTACAACTATGCGATATTCAGGTATACGCACGATTATAGTTGTAGTCTTATTGCGCACTATTAATCCAACCAAAGTGCTTTAAAATCACTCTTCTATTACCTTACAAAAAGCATGCACAGGTTCACTGTGTTCATAATTTTCAGTATACCTGTTGTTAGGAGATCTTCGAACATCTGGCATACCTGTACAATGCACTCAAAGACTTTATGCACACTGACAGGATTTGATAAATTCTGCGTTATAATTCTGAGAAAGCCAGGATAAAATTCCAGGGGTTTTACGATCGGATTCGTTTTTGGGTTTTCCAGTGCAGCAGGATGCCACCTAAGCTTTTTGGCTATGCACAAATCTTGCTTCTATTTGGGAACAGACAACTGCCCNGGCGTAAACAGACTAACATGGCAGAGTTGCGGATGAGTTTCAATGAGTGTGAGTTCATTCACTGTTAAAATAGTGTAAATTTGTAAACATATTTGCGAGAACTTTGTTTTATCGCAATTTCACAATTTCTACGAAATTCCCGGACTGTCCGAGTGAAAACCGAACAGGTGTAACACTAGGAACAAAGAATGAACTGCATGCATCGATGAATCGAAATTCACATATTGCTAACATCGATTCAGGATCGATGTTTCAAAAACATCGGAAGATCGATGCATCGACGAACAAAAACATCGATGTATCGATGTCACATCGATGCATCGCACAGCACTACTAGAAAGTAACCAATGATATAATATAATTCCATTTTATAGTGTTGCTTCTTTTATACAAGAGGATGAATGAAAATCAGTTGGTTTTATATAACATTTCTTACTACAGATTTACTGTTCAACACAAACGAAAGAAAAGCAGTCGAATAATTTTAAATATGAAAGAAAACACTTACTTGACTTTGAATAAATATAGATTCCACATACTTGAAATTTGTGCCACGAATCTTGACTTAAGTAAAATTTAATATTTCCTGTCATGTCGTTTTTAAATTCGTACGTAAATTGTGTAACCACTGAAATAATTGAAATATCAAATAAATTTCAATTATAATCGAAAAATTTATTATTACATCAATTATACTGTAAATATCTTCATAATACTACATAACATTGAAATATTACTATAAAATACACCCATTGATAAAAGTAGCTATTGACCTAGATACACTTGTTTGATTACTGCAAACTTGGCGTACAGCTATGCGATATTCAGGTATACGCATAATTATAGTTGTAGTCTTATTGCGCGCTAGTAATCCCACCAAAGTGTCTTAAAATCACTCTTCTATTACCCTACAAAAAGCTTGCACAGGTTCACTGTGTTCATAATTTTCAGTATACCTGTTGTTAGGAGATCTTCGAACATCTGGCATACCTGTACAATGCACTCAAAGACTTTATGCACACTGACAGGATTTGATAAATTCTGCGTTATAATTCTGAGAAAGCCAGGATAAAATTCCAGGTGTTTTACGATCAGATTCGTTTTTGGGTTTTCCAGTGCAGCAGGATGCCACCTAAGCATTTTGGCTATGCACAAATCTTGCTTCTATTCGGGAACACACAACTGCTATGTTGAAGAGTGGAAGATCTCTGGTGAACGCTTCAATTCTGCCTTTAATGTTGAGTCACATACTGCCTCTACTCTTGGTATGCTGGGGAGTCATCTCGTATGATAGTTAATCACTTCTACTAATAGTGCAAGAAACATGATGGATGCTGACTTTGATTATCTACCTGGTAGAGATCTGAAGGGCCGGTTTCAATTACTGTGGAAGAAGCTATCGTAGGATAGCAAGCAGTGCTTATATGTCTCCAGATTGCATTTCCACGTGCATGCAGGGAAGAGGTTTTACAAGATTTAGTTTATTCATAAATAGCAACTTTACCCATGGGTGATCTGTCAAGGGGATGCCTCTTAAGACGCCTTTTATGATAAACTGGCCTCTATTTAGGTATTATTAAAGTGAAGAAGACCGAAAAACTACAAGTGGCCAGCCCATTGACAAGGCCAAGCCACAACCAACAAAGCTGTGTTCAGTGGTTTTATCGAATCGGCCACTGTTGTGCTGGTCCTACAAGGTAAGAAAGAATCTTTTAAATTGTATCCTTGTTTAACAGGAAATTGTTCCTTTACTATGATAATGTAAGTACTTTTCACCATCGTCATTAGATTCGCACTAACAAAGTCTCCTTCTTGGTGCGTAATTTTTTTGTAAATAAGTGTATATCAATTAAAGAATATACAATTAGAGTATATTGTTAGTTAAAATTTTAAGAGATAAATTATATTTTAATTTAATTTTAATTTATTACAAAGTTCAAACAACAAAGCAATGTTATATTAAGCTGTCTGTATATTAAAATATTATTTAANTGTTGTTAGGAGATCTTCGAACATCTGGCATACCTGTACAATGCACTCAAAGACTTTATGCACACTGACAGGATTTGATAAATTCTGCGTTATAATTTTGAGAAAGCCAGGATAAAATTCCAGGGATTTTACGATCGGATTCGTTTTTGGGTTTTCCAGTGCAGCAGGATGCCACCTAAGCTTTTTGGCTATGCACAAATCTTGCTTCTATTTGGGAACAGACAACTGCCACGTTGAAGAGTGAAAGATCTCTGGTGAACGCTTCAATTCTGTCTTTAAAGTTAAATCACACACTGTCTCTACTCTCGGTATGCTGGGGAGTCATCTGTATGATAGTTAATCACTTCTACTAATAGTGCAAGAAACATGATGGATGCTGACTTTGATTATCTACAAATGTAATAGATCTGAAGTGCCGGTTGCAATTACTGTGGAAGAAGCTATCGTAGAATAGCAAACAGTGCTTATGTCTCCAGATTGCATTTCCGCGTGCATGCAGGGAAAAGGTCCTACAAGATTTAGTTTATTCGTAAACAGCAACTTTTCCCATGGGTGATTTGTCAAGGGGATGGCTCTTAAGAGACCTTTTATGAGAAACTGGCCTCTATTTAGGTATTATTAAAGTGAAGAAGCCTGGAAAACTTCAAGTGGCCAGCCCATTGACAAGGCCAACCCACAACCAACAAAGCTGTTCAGTGGTTTTATCGAATCGGCCACTGTTGTTCTGGCCCTACAAGGTAAGAAAGGATCTATTAAATTGTATTCTTGTTTAACAGGAAATTGTTCTTTTACTATGATAATGTAATCACTTTTCACCATCATCATTAAGTTTGCAATAGCAAAGTCTCCTTCTTGGTGCGTAATTTTTTTTGTCAATAAGTGTATATCAATTAAAGAATATACAATTATGGTATATTGTTAGTTAACATTTTAAGAGAAATTATATTTTAATTTAATTTTATTTTATTAGGAAGTTCAAACAACGAACCAATGTTATATTAAAATATTGTTTAATATCTGCCTACCAAGAGGACTTTCTATGAGAAACTGTTTTCTATTTAGACGTTAAACACCAGGAGAAAACTCGGATACTCCATATAGCTAGCTGCCCATGGGGTGCGGTTGGGGGCGTTGGATATAAGTTTGTCAAACTAAGAATGGCTCAAAAGAATTTGGGAATCACTGTACGATCACGGCAGTATATCCTCCAAATAGCATTTTAAGATTTCTTTTACATTCATTGTTATGTTTTAAATCTTGTATACTTAGTAACTTTATTATTAGCATACTAATTTATAGTTTCTCTTATAATTTTTTGTATTTATTAACATTATTTAAAGATCCTTAAAACCTCGGCAAAAAGGATATCCTCATCCCTAATAGTACTGTAATGTTGAATTGAGGTTAAACTGTAAATTACGAGTATGTCTTACTTGTCAGATAATTTAAACATGGCATCTTCAAATCGATTAAGGTACCTCTCGGGAAGACTTTCTATGTAAAACTGACCCTTTTTTTAAAAGTTAGACACATGAATAAAACCCAGAAAACTCCGTTAGTGAGGCGCAAATCTGCGACCAATTGCCATATCGTAAAGATGCTAGTTTATGCAGTCCGTTGATTTCGGAAATGGCAAATAAACAAACAATATCCTCGAAAACAAGAGAGAAAAAAATAGTCTTACTTACTACGATCACAACTAGTCTTATGTCGTTCTTCATATCTATTGTTGTTAACAATTAGAGACACGATAGGACATCCTGTATCGTTGCCGTATGCTGGAATACATTATAATTATTAGTAAAATGATTACAAAAAACATATTTTAAAATATTTACCTTTAAACTTTATTCTAATAGCGGAAAAAGATTTTTCGAATAATTTAATCTCCCAAGGTCCATCCGTGCCAGCTCCTATGCAATTATTTTCGTTTAAATTTTCCGTTGTATTATGACCATCTTTCCATATCTCCGCATAAATTGAGTTAGCTGAATTAAAGTAAATTACATATTATAAGGATAAATATTGGAAATACCAAGGACTAAAGAAAGTCGTATATCTGTTACCGCTAAAGCTCGAAATCCGTTAATGTGCACATTATCTAGATAATCTGAAGATTAACTAGGGTGATCCGTTAAAGCTGCGAAAATTATTCCATTTCTCAAATTACCTAGGTAATCTGCAGATTAACTAGGGTGATCCGTTAAAGCTGCGAAAATTATTCCATTTCTCAAATTACCTAGGTAATGTGCAGAGTATCCAGGTAATCTACACATTACCTACTAGGCACTCGGTAAAGTGAAAATAAGATCTTTGCTGGAACAACAGCAACGTTTCTGTACGCTTAAATTAACATAATGTTATTTATTTAATTTTCAATACCTAAAGAATCAAGTTAATACAATCAACAAATTAGTTGATTGAATCAATCATCAATCAATTAAAAAAACTTTAATACAAAAATCAAACGGTTTAAAATATTACTACAATTAGGGAAATGAATTTGCAAAACATATGATAAAATTGTACTTACTTATTAGTGCAATCTAAAGATTGGTGACACTTTGAATTACGTAGCAATTGGTTTTTGCGACAAGCACGCCTATTTGTGGTACATTTAGATTTGCAGTCACATTTTCTGAAACCCTGCCCAGTACCAAGGGATTGTTTTATTGCTGTTTGACGTAAAGATATTTCTACAGCAGGGACATCCATCTTCTTTCGTTAAAAATCTCTCTTTGCAAACACTGAATTCAGATTTTGCATACAATTGTTTTAAAATACCTGTTTTAGTATCAAGTTTTATGTTTGTTCACGCAGTTTGTGGTGAAGTAGATCCTAAAGAGGAAGGGTATGGTAAGAATGTATTGTGCATCATCTGTAAAAAGAATATGGATCAGAAAATACAGCGTGATGAAGCCAAGAAATGTTTAGAAAAGCAAGCAAAGAAAATGTTAGCAGTTTCTAATGCAAAGCACCCAAACGTCGATGAAGGTTTCGCTGTGAGAATTAAAGTACCCGAAGAAGACAGAGCAAAAACTGATGCACGTTCAATTTTAGCTGTGGTTCTTAGTAAAACAGAGGATGGCTTTTATAAACTTGATACTAAAACAGGTATTTTAAAACAATTGTATGCAAAATCTGAATTCAGTGTTTGCAAAGAGAGATTTTTAACGAAAGAAGATGGATGTCCCTGCTGTAGAAATATCTTTACGTCAAACAGCAATAAAACAATCCCTTGGTACTGGGCAGGGTTTCAGAAAATGTGACTGCAAATCTAAATGTACCACAAATAGGCGTGCTTGTCGCAAAAACCAATTGCTACGTAATTCAAAGTGTCACCAATCTTTAGATTGCACTAATAAGTAAGTACAATTTTATCATATGTTTTGCAAATTCATTTCCCTAATTGTAATAATATTTTAAACCGTTTGATTTTTGTATTAAAGTTTTTTTAATTGATTGATGATTGATTCAATCAACTAATTTGTTGATTGTATTAACTTGATTCTTTAGGTATTGAAAATTAAATAAATAACATTATGTTAATTTAAGCGTACAGAAACGTTGCTGTTGTTCCAGCAAAGATCTTATTTTCACTTTACCGAGTGCCTAGTAGGTAATGTGTAGATTACCTGGATACTCTGCACATTACCTAGGTAATTTGAGAAATGGAATAATTTTCGCAGCTTTAACGGATCACCCTAGTTAATCTGCAGATTAGCTAGATATTGTGCACATTAACGGATTTCGAGCTTTAGCGGTAGCATATCAACTGATTACATTCGCTTAGATAATCGGAGTAAGCCTACACTTCGACTATTCCATGTTAAATTCAGGACGTAAACATTTTCAGTCCATAAAGGAAATTAAAGTAGAGAAGCAAAAGGATTCGAGACTACATGAATATATGAGTATAAAAATGTTTTTTGAAGTGAAAAAAAATGACATGTGTAATGTACGTAATAAATACAGTTGTATTTGATTGTGCATATTAATAAAACAAGATCATTTTAATTATATAGCGTTTATATGATTATTTATATTAAATTAATGTGAAAATTTATATGATTGGTACATTTTGTTATCGTTTTATTTACGTAAACAACTCACCACAATACGGCACTTCACCTTTCCAACTTCCATCCTCTTGGCATATTAACGTTTCATTTCCAAATAAGTAATAATTTCCATAAGAGCATTTGTATTTATTTTCGGCTACGTTAAAAATGCCATCCTTGACTGTAATCGGTGGACAACCTAAAAATAATTACGTTTCTATATTTTACAAGGATTATATCAGTACATTAAGTGAAGTAAAATTACGAGAATGCTTCGAAGAAAAACTCACTAAAGCTTAAAAGGAAAAGTCTTGTTAAATTATGATTAAAATCTCCAATAAAAAACGTTTAAGTTTTAAAAACACTATTTTCTATAAACTTATATGTTTAAATAGATTACTCGCCTGAATTACAATTCTGCACTCTTTTACAGATAAAAATTAAGGTTAATCCTGTATATGTCAATTGATAGATAATTTTCTTCCACATTACCATGAGATTACACGTGTGTGTGTATATATATGTCTGTACGAAAAATTAAAACAGCGTAATTAAATTTAAAAGTGAGAACTTCTCATACATCCTTACATTTTCCCATGAAAATGTATGACTTCATTCATTCTTCCGGAAAAACAGGTGATGTATCCGGCGAGATAGATTATAATTGAACAAATATACTACATGAATTTAGATTTTTTTTAATTATTTATTAATATTATACAAAATAAGAATTAAGAAAATCAATGAAATCTATATGATTAGGGGAGACCAGGGCAAGACCGGCATGTTAAGCTTTACTTAAATTTTGTGTAATAAATACTGCTGAAAACTGAAAAAAATCTTTGCATATTGTCTATTGGAATGTTACCTTACTATAGAACTGGTTAAAATCAGTTTGGAAATAAAAATAATTAAAATAATTATAACTTTACAAAAAGAGAGAAATTGCTCTCTTTTTGTAAAGTTATAATTATTTTAATTATTTTTATTAAAGTTGTTCCTGATATAGGGACAACAGTAATGGGGCAAGATAGGCAGGTATATAAATTTATGTTATTAACAATGTATAAGTTGGAATTCACTATTAAAACAAATCTAATGTATTTGTATTTGTATTTCTTTAGAAATACAAATCCAACACCTATTTTATATTTATTACAACGAAATGCAAGTTCAAAGACATATACAGTGGTACCTCGGTATACGTCTGCTTTAGAATACGTCTAATTCGGAATACGTCCTGTTTGGACAAAACAAATTTCGCTAGGTATACGACTTAATTCAATTATACGCGCCATCTACGAGCAAGTAGCACTATCGATGTATTAGACCAGAATAGACGTTCGCGATGTTACGGTTTATAACTTTGTTAAATTTCTTCTGATTTTAATTTGTAAGTAAAATTTTATTATTTTTATTAATCATGAATTGCAAAAAGGCAAAAGAAAAATAAAAAATATGACTAGAATCACAATGGAACTGAAAAAAGAGATTGTTGAGAAATATAAAGGTGGCACGTGTGTTCGAGATTTAACTGTTGCGTACCGTATTCCGAGAACGACGATATCGACAACCACGAAAAATAAAGACATTATTAAATCTCCTAACGTTGCGAAAGGGGTTAAATCAATTTCTAAACAGAGATCGAAGACATTAGATCGTGTCGAGAAATTGCTTTTGCTTTGGATAACTGAAAAACCGTGTGCTGGCGACAGCGTATCGGAAGAAATTATTTGCGAGAAAGCTAAAAAGAAACATGCTGATCTCGTGAAAAATCAAGCATAAACTAGCCAGGAAAGCGAGGTGTTTAAAGCCAGCCATTTTTTTACATGAGAACGGATTAATCATTTTTACATTACTTCTTATGGAAAAGCTTGGTTCGGTATACGTCCTATTTGGTATAAGTCCAAACACCAGGAACACCAGGAACGAATTAAGGTCGTATACGGAGGTTCCACTGTATAAATAAAAAAAAATGCAAACATGTTTTCATTTATTATCTGTTTGATTTTTTTTTGTAATCAACCAGATAATAAATGAAAACATTCTAAACCAATGTAAAAGCAATATAAAAGCATATTGTTTATTCTTTTATTCTCTACACATATCAAATAAATTGAACATACTCATTTTCTACATCCGTACAGTCCATATGAGCCCAGAGTTTACATTTACAGCATAACCTCCTGAGTAATGCCATATTTTTCATTGCAATATATACAATAAGTATTTTTACCGTCATTTTCCGGTTCTTTAGGACTTTTCTGCCTCTTTCTTTTAGTTTACTTCGAATCCGCATTCTCTAAAACCGTTCCGATCTGCAAGTTCCGAATTTTTTATTTTTATCCTTTGCTTCTAATGTGGCTTTATGTTGCCGATCTTGCCCCGCTAGTCATGATTTCGAAACATTAAGTACAACCCTGAGAACAGAATGCCAAGCCACGATCTGGCCACGTGAATAAGTTGAAGTTACATCCTTCTAACAGGAAAAGTAACTTTCGTTATCATGGAATTATAACAAAACCTGCCAATTCAATATAAATGGAAAAAAAATATTATATGGAATTGAACGAAAATGAAAATTTGCTTGATAATTCAACTACGCTTGTTGGAGAACAATAAAAACACTACACTCAACAAGCCACCAATAAAACTCAACTGCCTAACCTATAACCAAAATCTCCTTTTAATTTGTTTTTAAAAAAAAAGCGCTTGACAAACTTGCCCCGTATGCCGAAGTTGCCCCGATCTCCCCTATATGGTAAAGGCAATTTGTGAAAAATCGGCTTATATATAATGTGCAGACTTCATTTTTTCAGACTCTCAGAACCAGAATTTTACTGAGGAAAAATATATATAACAACAACACCACATCTGAAAATTAATATTTCCAAGCCTTTCTCACAAATGGAAAATGGGTTGAGAACGTTGGGAAGTTTTTGGCACTGAGATGGCTGCAAAATTTTGGGAATCACTATACGATCACGGCAGTATATCCTCCAAATAGCATTTTAAGATTTCTTTTACATTCATTGTTGTGTTTTAAATCTTGTATACTTAGTAACTTTATTATTTGCATACTATAGTTTCTCTTATAATTTTTTGTATTTATTAACATTATTTAAAGGTCGTTAAAACCACGGCAAGAAGGATATTCTCATCCTAATAGTACTGTACTATTGAATTGAGGTTAAACTGTAAATTACGAGTATGTCTCAGATGATTTAAACATAGCATCTTCAAATCGATTAAGGTGCTTCTCAGGAAGACTTTCTATGTAAAACTGGCCCTTTTTTTTTTAAAGTTAGACACGTGAAGAAAACCCAGAAAACTCTGTTAGTGATGCAAAAATCTGCGATCAATTGCCATATCTTAAAGATGCTAGTTTATGCAGTCCGTTGATTTCGGAAATGGACAAATAAACAAACAATATCCTTGAAAACAAGAGAGAAAAAATAGTCTTACTTACGAAGATCACAATTAGTCTTATGTTTTGATGGGTTCTGCCACAGAATGGAGGAATGGAGTTTTTCCACTTATTTCGGGAGATAATTTACACCCTTTTAATTGTTAAATACATTAAATTGTTATTCCCCGCTATGATTTATACACATTATATCCCGTATGAAATTAGCACAGTTATTCGCTTGTGCCAGTAAATATAGATAGTCGACCAAAATGGATACCACAAAGGGTATAACGTGCCTGACAACTTACGAGAGTTACTTGTGTTTTGTTTTTGTAATAACTTTTATCTCTATTGTCAAAACGTCTTATCTCATTAGTGTCCGACATTAATCCTTGTTGATTTTGTAGTTGTTTAACTCACGATGATTACACTTTGTGAAGGAGAGGAAATGCTAAAACTGATAACTTCATATCTATCCATTTCATTCTCAGCAAATAATTCACTTCTGTTCATCAACACCTAATTTTGCTGAGTTTAAAATTCTTTTATTTTTACAAACTTTTTAAATTGTATATCTGTTACCGCTAAAGCTCGAAATCCGTTAATGTGTACATTACCTAGCTAATCTGCAGATTAACTAGGGTGATCCGTTAAAGCTGCGAAAATTGTTCAATTTCTCAAATTACCTAGGTAATTTGCAGAGTATCTAGGTAATCTGCACATTAACGGCTTCCGTATCGTTAAAGTTCAAAAGTTTGTTTCTTTCACTTCCTTTCCCCACTCCTTCTTTTTACGTAGATAAATTTAAATCCTAGAATGCAAGCAAGCACCGAATTG